GTTTTGCCGACCCCAGGGCCCCAGGCAGGGAAGATGTGCGGCGTCCCGTTCCGTATTTGTGGTTTGCCGTTTCGCGTGGTGCTGCCTGCGCGTGCGTAGAGTCGCGGCTGATTATTGGGTCGACCCTGCCAAATCAAGGGTACCCTTGTGTCCTGTCTTTCGCGACCCAGTTCCTGTTGCGATGTGGCCCTCGGGAGGGTCTTGTGTCCTGTCGCGTGTCCTCTCCAATCAACCCCGACTGTAGTTGTTACTGATTTGCTCTGGTGCGGGGCTCCCTGGGGGCCTCTTGGAGGCCTCGTGGGGCGGCCTCTCGGAAGCCCCATCGTGGGCTCCTGCAGGGCCCCCCGCTTGCCCTGTGGGGGCCTCTTTGGGGGGCCTGTCTCTCCTCCCTCCTCCTCCTCCTCCTCCTCCTCCTCCTCCTCCTCCTCCTCCTCCTCCTCCTCCTCCTCCTCCTCCTCCTCCTCCTCCTCTACGGTCCGCTCCTCCTCCTCCTCCTCCTTCTCCTCCTCCTTCCTCCTCGGCGCAGGACCTCCAGGGGGAATTTCTGGGGCGTCTTGCGTGGGGGGCAACCTTGCGGGTGAGGGCTCCTCGACCCCTCGCAGGTTCCCCTGCGTGGGCCTATCCTGCAGGGCTGGACCTAAACGCTGTTTTGCTTGTTTTCGGCTGTGTTTTGTTTTTCGTTTTGGCAAGGAGGTACAGGTAAACAGGTAGAGCAAAGCAAACGTTAGGTCCAGCCCTGCTATCCTGCCCCTCTTGGGGTCCTCTTGAGTACCCTTTTGGCAGTCTTGGGAGCCTGTTGGGCCATCTCGCGAGGCCCTTCTTGGGCCACCTCTCGGCCCTCTTGAGGGCCTCGCCGGCCGCCTTGGGCAAGTCTTGGGGGCAGTTCGGGCCGTCTCCGGACGTCAGAAGCCCGACATGGCGAAACCGCGGACATCGTGTAAGCACGCTTGGGAACTCAATGGCGTTTGCCACTTGGTGCCGTCTTGTGGGCCCTCTTGGGGGCGTCTCGGGGTGTCTTCGGGGCCCCTCTGGCCCGTCCGGAGGCCATCTCGCGTGTTCCGGAGGCCTCTCCGCCGCGGCAGAGCCTGCCTGGAGCCCTCGCAGAGGGCATCTTGGGCATCTCCGCGGCCGCGGCGGTTGGATGTGGAGGCTCCGAGGGCGCGGGAGCTGCGCCGAGGAGCTCGTGGACCGCCTCCCCCTCAGGACGGGACTCGCAGCCCAGCGGGGAGGAGGACAGGGGGAGGGGGGCCGCCAGATGTCTCACACGCCCCTGCACTCGGGGTCGATGGGCTCTTCCCTCCTCCTGCTCCCTTCTCTCCTCCCCGCTCCTTCAGATGAGTCTTCTTCTGCTCCGTCTCCTCTTCCTCCTTCTCCTCCTGCTCCTCCTCCTCCTCCTCCTCCTCCTCCTCCATGCGTGGGTCCCCCCTTTGGAGCCTCTCCCCAAGGAGTTCCGCACGAACTTGGACGCCTACGTCAGGCGTGGCCCGCCAGCTCGTCGCGGCAGGGCCGGGGAACCCCAGGCGCAGTTCGTTCCTCGCCATTCTTCCCTCCCCCGCCCCGTCCTCTCCACCCTGCCCAGGGCCATCTCCCTCCCCCCTCTCCCCTTTGCATTCCGCTCCACACACACCTTCTCCTCCCGTCCCCTCCCCATTCCTCTCCCTCCACTCATCTTGTCCCCATTGTCCCAGTTTGCTACAACATCTTCGACGACTTGTGCCACCCCGCAGTGTCTTCCACTTTGATCTCTGAGGGCTTCCGGCTCGTCCGCGCTGCTCGACCGCCGGTGCGCGTTCCATTTTAATGCCGTAGCGTCCTCGGTTTCGTCGTCGTCATCCAGTTCCTGCGTAGCCGTTTCGTCTCCAGTCGGAAGTGGTGCAAGGGCACCTGGCTGTTCTGGCTGCAGAGACCAGAGCACACAGTGGTGATTGAGATCGCCTCCATCGTCTGCCAGATTTCCTTCGTGGCTTTGGCCCATGGGAGCGTAATGACTGTTGGAATTTGGCCAGGGCGGTGCGCAGCGAGTCTAGACGGCAGGCATGCACCGCTCGGACCGATCGTGGCGGCAGCAAAACTTAGTCGGGAGCGCGCTCCTGAGATCAGCCACAGTGGCGGGGAAGGGTGTAGCTGGTTCATGGCAGCGCTTGCCCCCACAGGACTGGCTCGCCGGGGCTGCTTCAGATGCGACAGCGGCTGCCTCTGACGTCTCCACTGGTAGTCCGGAAGCCAGCACGATCATGGTCTTCAGTCAGAGCGCGCTTTCCGCAACATGGTGGAGGACCGCGTGCAAGATCTCCGCGGTCACAGAGATGGCTAATTTGGGGTATCGCCTCACTTCACGCACACATCGGAGGAGCGCCAGCGACTCAGGAAAGTTAGTCGAGAGGGAATGGCACTGCCATCTTCTGAATCACTGACTGGCACTGCAAAGCTCGCTCGCCTCGAAGAGTGGAGAGGACGCCAGATCTTGCTTTGATTTCGGTAGGCAGCGACCAACTTGTTGGCTCGGACCAGCTGCGCACTGCTCAGGCGACGAGATGCAGTGCTTCTTGCCTGAGCCCAAAGGAACATCCACATTCACAGCACGATGCAGAGCACGCGCCACGTCACTGGGGTGATGGGTGGACAGGCTGTTGCGTCGCGATATACCGCAAGGGCGTAAGCTCTAGGGCTGCCAAGCCGTTGGCGCAAGTCGTTCGAGGCTCATGGTTTCAACCGGGCGTGCGTCTGGCTAATCGGTGCGGCGGTGCCAAGACGAGGCACCCTTGCAAGTTCCTCGGCCCTGCATGACCTGGTGGCCGCACATGGGGGCAAGGGCGCCAGTGGGTGGACTAAAAGTGTCCACACGTGTCTCGCCAAGACCTTGAGTCATTAAAGTACGTCGGACCAACATGTATACGCCCCTTCCCCTAAATTCAAAGTTGACGGGTTTAGGCGGTAGGCCAAAGGCCAGGGACAACATGTGGACACTTCAACTTTGGGTTTAGGGGGGAGGGGTGCGAAGTAAGGGCATTTCGGAGTTGTGGTTGTCATCATGTTGCATTGCCTTCCCGCCATGGTTGTGGACACTTTTTTGTCTGGGCACCGGCACGGTGGGCTGTACGCAGCCCACTGCCGTGATCGGTCGGCTGGCGCGCTGAGATGGTGCCTGTGCTCGGGTGCTCGGGTGGGGCCCTGGCGAAGCTGAGCGCTTGGACATCAGCACGGCGGTCCCGCACGCAAGGCTTGCGACTCTGTCGGGCCCTTCTGTTGAGGGAGCGACTCCACGGCTAAGCGACCAGCGCTGCAGTGGACTCCACATGGCGTGGGCTGTGGTGGGGCTCACTCCAGGCACCCCTGACTTGTCGACGACGTAAGACGCTCGGCGCGCTGTTTCGCCATGCACAGAGGGGCAACGCGCTGTTTTGCCATGCACAGAGGGGCAAGGCGAGGCGCTCGGCGTCGCAGGGGGGCGCCTGAGTCGGAAAGGGGGGCGGGTCGCGGGAGTCGGAACGGGGTCGGGTCGCGGCGCGTGTCGTGGGGGATGCGTGTGTGCGTGTCGCGGGCGTTTCAGTTCATTTTGAGTTGAGCTCGCCCTCAGTTTTCTGGCCGCTGCACGTCTACGCTTGGGATTACTGCCCCTCTAGCACACCACCTATCGTTTGCACCTTACAGTGTGCGACGTTTCGTACACTGTGCCTTCGACAGCTCTCGATCGCAATTCTGACTGCCATCTGCTGCCCGCGCTTGAGGACCCTTTGCGTCGCCGACTTGAAAGTGTGCGTGTTGTGGCCGGCGCGGGCGCGAGTAGAGGCGGGAGCGGATCGCGGGCGGGCCGTGAGGGGGTCGCCAGCCGATCCGCCGACTTCTCCCAGGGTGCGTGCTGACCAAGATCTCGAGGCAGACCCAGTCGTGGCGACGACGGCTCCCACGAAGGCCCCCCAAGTGCCAACCCATCAAAATCCTCCTACTCTCAAGTCGGGCACGTCATTCTACAGGAGGAAACATCAAAAATAGTCGAAACATAGTGGGGGGACGATTTTGCACAGTATTTTTGGATCATGCTTGGATATGTTCTGGCCACTTTTGCTTTCGTCCTCAGTCCGCCTGTTGGAGGACATGCCCGACCTAATATCCTGCTCTCGCCGCCGCCCAGAGCTCCGACGTCGTAGTTGTCTCATGGCTTGACCCCCAGAGCCCCCGACCTCGCCCCCAAGGACAAGCTGTTCGCCCCGGGCTGCTGTGGCTCGACCGGAACGGGCCTCCAGCGGCCGAAATCAGCTCCTCCCCCTCCTCCTCATCCTCCTCCTCCCCCTCCTCCTCCTCCTCCCCCTCCTCCTCCTCCTCCTCCCCCTCCTCCCCCTCCTCCTCCTCCTCCTCCTCCTCCTCCTCCTCCTCCTCCTCCTCCTCTTCCTCCTCCCGCTCCTCCCCCTCGTCCTCTTCAGACCACAAGCCTCCACGGAAGCGTGTGTTGGAACAGGGCTTCGAGGCGACGCCAGCCGCGGCGACGAGGGCCCTCCAGGAGGCCCGAGGAAGGCCAGAAGCTTCAAGCAAAACCTCGACACAAGCCCGGATCCTCGACTCTCCCTTGTCCCTCCTCTCCTTCTCTCCTCCTCCCGCCTCCCCCTCGCAGGCCCTCCTCCCTCCTCCCTCCCTCCTTCTCTCGGGGCCGAGGCGCCCCAGAGCCCCGGAGCCATCTTACCTCAAGCCAGGTCCCTTCTCTCTGTCTCCCTCCTCCCTCTGCCTCCCTCCCTCCCTCAACTCTTGCTTCATTCGGCCGAGAGGACCGATCCGCGGAAGAGCGGGGCTTGGAGTGCCTCGGGCACCACGGGCAGGTACTGGAGTCGACCCAGGCCGAGATGGCTTGGGCCCAAGCGGAGCGAAAACGGCTACGGAGAGAGACTGCGAGGGGGGAGGAGGAGGCGAGAAACAACAAGTCCTCCCTCTCTCTTCCTCCTCCCTGTGCGCCGGCAGCCACGGGGGCTGCCCGCCCCCAGCCGGCCAGCCTGCGCTCTGGGGGCGCCATGGCCCGGGGGCGCAGCCCGGCGACCGCGGCCGCGGTGACGCTGCTGGATTTCTTCCAGCGGAGGGCCGCCCCCGCGGAGCCGCCCGGGGACCCAGGACCGCGCGGGGAGGGTCGATGTCTTCGATGCGGGTATAGCCAGGACCGCGGGTGAGGGGATCCGGGTAGTGGTAGGGCCTCGGAGCCCCTGAAGTGGCCAGAATCACCAAGCCAGGTCTGCCGCAGCTCGTGTTTTTCGGGTGGCGGCAGTTCTGGTTAGTGGAACGGGGCGGAGGGGCGTCCCCCAGTACACATCACTGAACCGGGTCCCGCCAAACCCAGTTCTGCCAACGTCCGATCGATGTCCGCGCTCATTCAGGCGATCGCAAGCATGGATCAAGGGGGCGCGGATAAGCGACGCGTCCCGTTTCCATGGGAGGGGCGCCTGCTCCGATCCATGGATTCGGCGACCCCGCGCCAAATCCAAGGATCGCTAATCCATCTTTGCGCGCCCCCGATTCAAGGAGCTTCAATCAGCTTCTCCCGGATTTGGGCCGCGCAGGGACCGCATTTAGCCCGTCCTCCTGCGCCTCCTCTCCCCTCCTGTTCCTCCTCCTGCGCCTTCCCCCCCCCCTCCCCTCCCCTCCTGGTCCCCGCGAATCCAGTCAAAATCTGGTTCAATCCGGTCTAAGTTTGTGCCAAATCCGGTCCAAATCAGGCCCAACTCGGACAGCGCGGGGGGCCACGCAGGCCCCCCACGGAACGGACACCAAGGATGTCCGAGGGCCGACGGTCGAGATGTTTGACAGTTTGGGGTGCCGCTCGAAGGCCTACCTACCGTTACATCCGAAGTCGTTTTGCACCAGTCAGTTTCGTCCGACATGAGTCTATTCGGACGAGTTCGTACAGACAGTGTCTTCCGGTCGAGTTCATCCAGAGACGAGTTCGTCCGGACAAGGTCTTTCGGACAAGTTCTTCTGGAAGGTTCAATGCGGCCTGGATGCGCAGAGCGTCCAACTGACCTCGACCGACGACGAATTCGTCCCAGACGACTTCGGCTGGACAAGTGTTCCAGACAAGCTCATTTGGACAGGTATTTTTGGACACGTTCTTCCGAGACGACTTCGTCCAGACAAGTTCCCCCGGACAAGTTTTTCTGGGCAAGTTCTTCCGAACGATATCTTCTGAAAGATTTCGCCCGGACAAGTTCTTCCGCACAAGTTTCTTCGGACGAATTCTTCTCGGATAGCCTGTTCGGCCCAGATGCGGAGAACATCTCAGCGACCTCGGCCCACGACCAATTCTTCCGAGACGACTTCGTCCAGACAAGTTCCTCTAGACAAGCTCATCTGGGACCAATTCATCCGGACGAGCTCGTCTCGGACCAATTTAGCCGAGCGAGTGCATTTGGATCAGTTTTCCGGAGATGACTTCAGCATAGGCGTCTTCATCCGAAACGACATCATCCAGACAAGTTCATCCGGGACGAATTCAACACGGGGCGAGTTCATCCGGGCGGTTTGATCCGAACAGGATGTCCGAACATGAAATTGCCAGGAGGACGTCGCGACGTCCCCCTGGCAATGTCATGCTCGTATATCCTGGAACGTCCTGATCATCCTCCATATCCGCGATGCTAAAGAATTGGATTGCGATGCCTCGAATTCGAAGCGTCCGTAGATTGTGTTTTCCGGAGCGAGTTTTTCCGAACGACTTCTTCCGAAGGCGAGCGCATCGGCGCCGATTCATTTCAGCGGTTCCTTCTGAGAGAGGATTCTGCCGAACGACACCTTCCGAATGATTGCATTCAGCACTCTCGCTCGGCTCCTTCATCTTTTCATTCTCAGAGCCGCGTCTGTCTCCCCCTGCCCCTCGTCCCCCCCCTATCACCCCCCCTCTTGCCAGAGCCGTGAGTCGGATATGCAGAATGCAAGCAGCACTTGCCGCACAAATCTGGTGTTCTCGACCGTTATCATCGCACGGGCCTCTCGACGTCGATTCTGAGATCGCGCTGGGTCGGTAGCGTGCCTCGGAAAAGGCTCGTGCCCAGTCAGGTATGTGAGGCCACGCAAACACAAGGCGAACTGGTGAGAAGGACGACGAGGAGGGGAACATCCAGACCGAAACCGGGAGCACCACTTGGTGGTCAGACAGCAGATTACCATTGCACCAGGGTTGAAAGCCGTGAATATGTGGAACAGAGGGCAAGGAGGAGGATGAGGATAAGAAGACGGAGCGCTCCTGGTATAAAGAACCACATGGAGCACCAGAAAGCGAGAGGACGCACCCGAGGAATCACCGAGGAGGACACCCGAGAGGACGCACTTCGCATTGCCGCCCGGCATCCTCGCCGCGCGCCGCCCTCGTGCCATGAAGTGAACGGGTCCTGAGTCGCCGAGCGCGTTCCGCTGCTCGCAAAGCGCCTTCTCGCAAACGCCCGAAAAACCATGCATCTGCCCTGGTGTAATATTATATTGGAAAGAGCGTGTTCTACCGCTGCTGGCGGAAAACCGGGGGGGGTCACTGCCGGTTCGGACCCATCCCCCCCCCCCCCCTCCGGAAAACTGGGGGGGGTCACTACCGGTTCGAACCCCTCCCCCCCCCGAGTTCATATTGAAAAGGGGGGGGGGGTCACTACCGGTTTGAACCCCCCCCCCTCTCGAACTCGAAAACCGGGGGGGGTCACTACCGGTTCGAACCCCCCCCCTCCCTCGAAAACCGAGGGGGGGTGCAGACAGTGGTGGGGACGGTGGTGGTGGGGACAGTGGTGAGGGGACAGCGGGACAGTGGTGGGGACAGTGGGACAGTGGTGGGGACGGTAGTGGTGGGGACAATGGTGAGGACAATGGTGGGAACAGTGGGGACAGTGGGACAGTGGTGGGGACGGTGGTGGTGGGGGACAGTGGTGTGGGGACAGTGGGAATGTGGTGGAAACAGTAGGACAGTGGAGGGTACAGTGGTGGTGGGGACAGTGGTGAAGGCGGTGGCGAGGACGGCGGTGGGACAATGGGACAGAGGTACAGTGGGGACAGCGGTGGGGACAGTGGGGACAGTGGTGGGAACAGTGGGACAGCTCAGTGGTTCGGTTCGAACCGATAGTGACCCCCCCCCGGTTTTCGAGTTCGAGGGGGGGGGAGGGGTTAGGGTAGGGGGGGGTTTTGCCGGGGGAAGGGGGGGGGGTCAGCAGGGGGGGGGGGATTTTCGGAGGGGGGGGGGGGACCCCCGGGTTCCGGAGGAAAAGGGCGGCAATTTTCCACAGTAAAGCGGCGGTGGATCACGCTCTCTCCTTTATATCGTAAATCCCCCTGCGGCGGATCCCGGCCATCTGCGAGTAGCTACTTTGCGAGTGGAGCAGCGCGCTCGTCTACTGAGGGCAGCGGGTCCTGGGTCTGGCCTCCTTTCGGGGCCGCGGGGCCTCACACAAGGGTTCGGGACTGCCCGCGGGCCCTCGCCGTCGTCGTCTTGCCGTCATCGCTGCCGCCGCCGCCAGCTGCGTCGTCGGCGTCGTTGTCATGTGCCTCGTCGTCCTCCTCCTCCGCATCCTCACGATCGTCTTCCTCCTCCTCCTCCTCCTCCGCCTCCCGCCCCCCCCCCCCCTCGAGTTCGTAGTCGGCGTTCGGTCTCCTCGAGATCACCTCCGGGCCGCCGCGGGCATCGCCGCCCGGCATCCTCGCCGCCACACTCCTCGCCGTCATCGTTGCCCAGTGGGGGGGGGAGGGGAGCAGAGGGGGGGCAGTTGAGCCAGCGGCAAACGGTTGGCCTTCGGGGCCGGCCCCCTCGTGGCCACGCGGCTGGCGCAGGGAAGGGACCACACACCGATGCCGGTGCTCTCCCTGTGGAGTCCTCGTCGACACGGCTCGGTGTTCCACGGTTCCCCCAGTTGCCACCGCCGCCAGCGCCGCGGGCTTGAACGTCGTCGTCATCGTCGTCGTCGTCGTCATCGTTCTCCTCTCCCGTCGTCACCCTCGTCCGCGTCGTTCTCGTCGTCGTTGCAGCCGCCGTCAGCTTCATCGTCGTCGTGTCGCTTTCTCCCTCATCCGACGTATCCTCCTCCTTCTCCACTTCATTATCCTCCTCCTCGTCCTCCTCTTCCTCCTCTTCCTCTTCGTCCCAGCAAGTAGCATTAAACAACATTTGTCTGAAGTTTGGACTGTTTCAGGGAGGGTCCGCATGTTTCGGAGGTAGTTTGATTTGTAAGTGTTGTTTTTGGTCGGTCGGTTGGTTTGTTGGTTGGTCGGTTAGCCGGTTGGTCTTTTGATTGGTCGGTCAGATGGTTGATCGGTTGGTTGGTTTGACTATGGTCGGTTGGTCGGTTGGTTGGTTGGTTGTTTGGCTGGCTGGCTGGCTGGTTGGTTGGTTTGTTAGTCGAATGGTTGGATGGTTGGATGGTTGGTCGGGTGGTCGATTGGTCGGTTGGTTGGTCAGTTGGCTCGCTTGGTTGGCTGGCTGGTTGCTTAGTTGCCCGACTAGTTGGATGTTTTGTTGGGTTGTTGGTCGGTAGGTTAGTTAGTGGTTGTTTCGTACGACTGTCGGGGTTATTGCTCATCCCAGGTGGAGGAGGATCAGCGGCAGCAGAACGACAAGCAAAACCAGGATAAGATGTTGTCCTGCGTGTGTAGAACATACCGTTTGGAGTGCAGGGCCGTAAGAACGCGCATGCACCGCATAGCTTCCACCACATAGCTTTTCCCACGACGACGACGACGGCGACGACGACGACGACGACGACTGCGACGACGATGACAATCAGGACAACGACGACGAAGACGACCACAACGGCAAAGAACGACGTCGACGAGGACGACGGCGGCGACGACGACGCCAGCCCGCCCGCTCGCCGCCCGCCCGCCCGCGCGCGCGCCCGCCCGCCGCGTGACAACGCCTGGGGCCCGAAAAGAAGGTCATTCCGCTCCACTCGTCACGTGGCAACGACGGGGGGCGGAACACGACCACGGTTCCACTCTCACCTGCCACTCGCCACGTAGCAACGCGTGTGCGGGCGGAAGTTTACCAGTTCCTTATATTCGTCACGTGGCAAGGCCGCGGGGCGGATCACACATGTCAGTATGCCACTTGACTCGCCACGTGGCAGTGCCTGGCCAGCATGAAAGTTTATTCCACTAGTCCACAGTTTTCGCAACGTGGCACGGCGTGGGGTGGCGAGACAAACTACGATTCCACTCTGTTCGCCACGTGGTAACGCCTGAGGGGGGAAACGAACACCAATCCACTCTACACGTCACGTGGCACTGCAGGGGGCTGCAAACATACGATTCCACTCTTGCTGGCCGCGCAGCAGCTCCCTTAAGGAAAACTGCGATTCCACTTTGTTCGCCACGCTGCAGGGCCGACAAGAGTGCTATTCCACTTTGTTCGCAGCGTGGCAGCGCAAGGTGGCGGCCAAACGTAGAACTCCAGTCTTGCTGGCCGTGTGGCAACGCCTCAGAGGGGCGAACAGGAATACTGTTGCGCTCTTCTCGTCATGCAGCAACTCCTCGTGGCCGGAGGCATGCTGTTCAACTTTGCTGGCAAGGTGGCAGCGCCTGGGGAGCGAACAGCATTCACCATGCTATTTTCCATGTCTCGTGGCAACGCAGGGGGACGGAAGCCCATACGATTCCAGTCTATTCGTCACGAGGCAACGCCTAGAGGCCGAACAAAGACAACTCCACTCCTACCCGTCGCGTGACAACCCATGGCGTGCGATCAAACACACTATACTGTTATACACTTCTCGCGGAAACGTAGGGGGACGGACGCAAATATCATTCAACTCTATTCGTCACGTGGCAACGTCTGGGGGCGAACAAACAAAAAAAGCTGCTCCACTCTACTCGCCACTCGCCACGTGGCAACGCCAGGGGGCCGAAAAAGCATGATTGCACTTTACTCGTGATGTGGCAACGTCGCGGGGCGGGACACATACACAACACACACAACACACACACAACACACACAACACACAACACACAACACACAACACACAACACACACAACACACACAACACACACACAACACACAACACACAACACACAGCACACAACACACATACACACACGCACACACACACGCACACACACACAACACACACTATTCGACTGTACTCGCCACATGGCTATGCCTGGTGGGCGGGAGCAGCTGTTCTACTTCTTACTCACAGCGTGCCAACGCCTGGGGGGCAAAGCAAAACACGATTCCCCTGCTCGCCACGTGGCCACGCCCTGGGGGGCGAAGCCAACCCAGTTCCACTCTCTCCGTCACGTGGGAATGCGGGGGTGGCCGGACACAGTACCAGTCACTTTCTCGCCACGTGGAAACGCCTGGGAACCGAGCAGAAACCATGCCATTCGATTCGCCACGTGGCAACGCAACGAGACGGAACAAGTTGTGCTTTTTCGTCGAAGAGCAGGACTTCGGGATGACCCGGGTCACGGGTAGCAAATTTCCGAACGACGACGACGAATACTACGACGATGACAGTGACGACAATGACGATCACGACGACGACGACGAAGAGCAGGCTTTCGGGAGGACCCGGGTCACGGGTGGCAAATTCCCGAGCGACGACGACAATAACGACAAAGACGATCACGACGACGACGACGATAGCGATGACGTCAACAAACGGCGACGGCGACACCACATAGGTTTTCGGCGACGACGATCACGACGACAACGGTGACGACAACAACCAGCGACGATGATGACGACGACGAGGTCGACGAGGAGGACGACGACGACCGAAGACGGCGACGACAACGACGCCCGCCCGCTCTCCCGCCCGCCCGCGGGTACGCCCGGCCGCCACTTGGCGACGCCCGGGGCCGGAGAGAGTACTATTCCACTCCCACTCGTCACGTGGCAATTCCTGGGAACCGAGCCAAATCACATTCCACTCTTGCCCGTCACGTGGCAACGCCTTTGGGGCGAAGACAAAAGACGTCACGTGATAACGCCTCGGAGACGAAAACAAGATACGTCACGTGGTGACGCCTGGGGGCGAAACAACATACGATTCCAGTCCTGCTCGTCACGTGGCAATGCCTGGGGGCAGAAGTATTATACAAACCCAAGGAAGTCTTTAGTTTTGGTCCCCCCCCCTGGAGCTCTCCGCGGTGAATAAACTCGTCCCGAAACACGTCCGCTCCCGAAACCATTCCTCCTCCTCAAAGTGCAGCTCTCGCCCTAGCGCTGCGCGCATCGAGGGCTGGTGTGGTTCAAAATCCAGCTCTCGCCTTAGCGCCGCGCGCATGCGTCTTCGTCTTCGTCGTCGCATCGCTGTCGTAGTCGCAATCGCACACGTACTCGTTATCGTCTTCGTCTTCGTCTTCGTCGTCGGACCGCCCGAACTATAATTATTTTCCGCTATTGTCGGGCGGGGTCGTTTTTCCGAGTTGTCAATAAATTCGCCCCGATGATACTTATTTTCCATCTACTGGCCAGGGGATTTCTAAAGACTTCCTTGGGTTAATATGCACGCCATGTGGCAATGCACAGGGGCGGAAGCAAATGCTATTACAATCTGCTCGTCACGTGGCAATGTCTGAGGGCCGAACACGTACAATTCCACTCTACTTGCCACGTGGGGGGCCGAACAAAAACATGATTTCACTTTACTCGTAATGTGGCAACGTCGCCGGGCGGGAAACATACTATTCCACTGTGCTCGTCACGTTGCAATGCCTGGCGGAAACGACTATACCACTCTCCTCGCAACGTGGCAGCGCCTAGGGGGCGAAACAGAATACGCTTCCACTTTCCTCGCCACAAGGCAAAGCCTGAGGGGCGAAACGAATACGAGTCCGCTCCATTCGCCACGTGCCAGTACTTCGGGCGGAAAACATGCCACATCTCCCTGGGGGTATTGATGTCACTCTGCTCGCCACGTGCTGCGCCTCGGAGCCGCGAGCGATCTATGTCATTCGATTCGCCACGAGGCAAGCGAGACGAACAAGCTGGTATGTTTGCCCCCGTCGAAGAGCAGGCCGTTTGGAGGACCTGGGACTGGTTACAGACTCCCGAGCGCAGACGACGACGAATTCGACGACGACTACGACTACATACGGACATGCGGCTATGACCTCTGGCTTAAACATTCGGAGATTTCCCCCAGGAGAAACCCCTTGGTCAAGACTCCCCGATCTGTTCGCTAGACGATGTAGTAATCACAATCATCGTCGTCAGCATTGGCATCGTCATCGTCTTTGTCATCTCCATCGTCATTATCGGCTAGACGACTTCTTCCGAGACGATTTCTTCTGAGCGGGTTCTTCGGTGACGATTTCTTCTGGGAAGTTGGGACGACTTCTTCTGGAAGGAGTTCATCCGGGACGAGTTCTTCCGGGGCGAATTCTTCCTGATTGAGTTCGTTCAGAATGAGATTTGTTCGACAAGTTCTTTTTGGTCGAGTTTATCCGGGACGACTTCGTCGGGAACGAGTTCATCCGAAACAAGTTCTTCCAGGGCGAGTTGTTCCGGATCGAGTTCATCCAGACGAGTTTTGCTTGACGAGTTTGCCAGATGAGATCAACATGTATTGAGCCTGTTTCAAACCAATTTGCCATCCGCAACACATTTTTGAACAGGCAATTATTCCGAACGGGTTCGTCCGGACGAGTTCGTCTGGACGAGTCCATCCTGCGGAGACGAGTTCATTCGCGGACAAGTTCATCCGGGCGATGTCATCCAAACAATGTCATCCAGACGAGTTCGTCCGGAAGAACTTTCTTCTGGATGACTTCGTCGCAGACGAAGTCCTTCAGGACGAATTGGTCGTCTTCCGTCTTGGTCCTCTTGGATACTTCCCGCCGCCGCGGCTGGGTTACCCTCTGAAGTTTGGCCAGAGGGCACCCCAAGACGGATCGGGGGTGGCTTTAGAGCCTGGGGCAGGGACCTGTAGGTAGCGAGTGGACCAAAAATCGTGCTGGAGTTTTTGTGTGATTCGCGGCACTCCGAGGCCGTCTCTGGGCCCAAATTGCAAGTGGCAGCTGCAGCTGCGATCTGCCTCAGACCGTGCAACGTGAGCGGGGGACGGGGTCGGGTACCACGCAGCTTGGCAGAGACCCCCGACACCAGAGTCATGGCGAGGGCTGCAATGAAGGTGATCGTGATGGCGACGCTTGCAATCCGTAGCCATTTTGGCTCAAATCGTTCTGTCTCAAGGTCTCGTCAGTAAAACGTGTATGGTAGTGCCGACATTGGTAATCCAACTGCACTGCCATGCCGCCCAAGGCCAAGGGACCCAAAAAGCCGAAGAGGACAAACAAGCCCAGCCCGCTTGAGCGGATGAAGGAGGCATTCGCGTTGGTGAACGTGGACGCCGACGCTCATGAGATCACCAAGGAGGACTTCGTAAAAGCCATGGCGTCCATTGGCGTCACAGAGAGCGTTGCCGAACAATTGTTCGCGCGATTCAATCCCGACGGGAACGGTGTCTTAGACAAGGAGGAGTTCTTCGCCTATGCCGCGAAGGGCGGGGGGGAAGTACGCAGCCTCATTAACAGGGGCGTGCTGGAGGCCGACGAGGGCTTCGACAAAGTCGTGGAGATCTTCAAGGCCTGGGACCAGGATGGTGACGGCACCATCTCCAAACAGGAGCTTGAGCGGGTCTTGGTGATGCTGAACCCCTCTTTCACCAAGAAAGAGTTGGATAAGGTAATGAAGAGTGCGGACACGAACGGCGACGGCCTCATCGACTATGAGGAGTTCGCTGCCTGGCTGCAGGGCAGTGACAAGCCGAAGGGGAAGAAATGACGCGTCTTCCTCCTGCGCGTGCGCGCGTGTGCCTCCTGTGCGTTGTTTGCGGGCTGTTAGTGCCTGCCATGGGAGGAGGGGCTGGAGGGGGTGGTGATGACGACGGTGGCAAGGAGAAGATGCGATGAGGGCGACGGCGATGACGAGGATAATGTGATGCGCGCTTGTAAGGCATCGTTGCGCATCGCTCGTGCCAAAGGGCGGGCGCGATAGCGATCTTCCGCCTAGGAGCAGGAATGATCCTTGAGGACTTCCGCCTCCTATTGAGGACACCTTCTGTGAAATCCTGACTCCTCATTCCCCCGAAGCTCCAGTCAGGTCACCAGGTCTCACTCGGATCATTGAGTAGATGCCGACTGTTTCGTCGTCATCGTCTTCGTCGTCGTGCTCCTTGTCGTCTGCGACCGTCAGCCTATCCGTTTGTGTCTTGCCCTTGGCCAAGGTGGCCTCACTTTATCTACTTATCCATATGCGTGCCTGCCTCCTGGTTGCCTTGAGCACGCTTGTATATGTCTGTCTGTGTCTGCCCGTGCCTCCCTGTGTGCCTCTCTTTCTGTCTGTTCTGTCCCCTGTCTGGTTTTGGCCTCCGCCGTCTGCCTGCCCGTATGTGCTCTGGCTCGGTGGGTCTGCTCAGCTACCTGCCTTTCTGAGTGCCCGCTTGTCACCCACCCCTCCTTCCGTTTCCGTGCTACGCCGCGCGTGTGTAGGTCGGCCGTTCTCTCCGCCCGCCACTGCTGCCCGTTCTGCTCGTCGTCGTCATCGTCGTCGTCGTTTGCTTGGTCGCTGGATCACTCGCGGGGGGCGCGAAGGTGCCGCGAGTCGCACGTCGTGGCCCTTGCTGGACAGCGGTTCTTCTCAGGGGTGCCCACGTGGTGGTGTGCAGATAAGAGCACGTCGACCCTCGCGCGGCGCGAAGCCCGAAGTTGGGTGATGCAGCTCCGTTTCCGCCGCGGTCATCGTCATGGTCTTCGTCGTCATCGCCGTCACCATCGACGTTCTATACCTCACGACGAAACGGGTTTGCATGACGTGGCCCAGACCTCTCGACCCCACCCCGTGGGTCGCTTTTTCATATCAGATCGTGGTTTGGCGGTGTGGGCGCTGGTAAAGGAATGCGCCCAGGAGGCTGCAGACTCTGGAGAATTCCTTATCTGATGAGGGCGGCGGTGATACCCATGACCAATCTTCGCTTGGAGTTCCACCGGCCTCCAGACCCTGGCTTCCTGAGGGTTCCTTATCCCATGCGAAGTCTCATGGCCCGAAGCGGGGCTCCAGAGGTCCAAAGAGAGGCGGCAGCGGCCGTCGTGCTTTTTTCGTGGCGCCGAAGAGGGCCTTGGATCGCCGTCACTAACACATCGCCCACGCGTTCGTCCTTTCGCCCGCGCTGTCGACGACACTGTCCATCCTTGAGCCCATCCATCCTGGAGCCGGGCCTGTCCCTCCACAGGAGGACTGTTCCAAAGCAGTAAACAACTAATCTGGGGACGCGTTGCGCGACTACGTTTGATTATTTTGGGGGGTACGTTTGGATCGTGGCCGTCTCGGCCTGGGTGGGGTCGACCCCGTCCGGCCGCCCTCTGCCCGCCCCGCCGCGCGCCGCGCGCGCTCTGCCCCGCGCTCGTCGCCGCACGGCGAGGACGGGGCGGCGGGGGGGCCGCTCGGGGCCTCCCGTCCGCCGTGCGCGCCGCGGGGGCGCCCGAGGCGGGCCGGCGGGGAGGGAGAGGAGGGGCGGGGCAGGCCAGGTGCGCGCTTGGTGTGCGCGGGGAGGGAGAGGAGGGGGGGGGGGGAGAGGAGGGGGGGGGGCGAGCCAGGGGCGCGCCAGGTTGCGCCTGGAGAGGAGGGAGGGGGGGGGGCAAGCTAGGTGCGCGCGCTCGGAAGGAAGTGTCCGGTTCGGGCCGGTTCGGGCCGGTTTGGCGGCGGACCGGTTCGGTTGCAGCGGTTCGATTTCGGCGCGGGGTCCGGTTTTGGTCGGTCCGGTTTTGCCAGTCCGGGTCGGTTATGCCGGTTCGGTTCGGCGGTCGCGGGACGGTCCGGTTTTGGGGGGGCCGGTTTTGGGGGGGCCGGTTTTGGGCCGGGGGGGAGGGTGCCGGGGGGGGGGTGCCGGCACCAGGGGGGGGGGGGGGGGGGGCACGGGGGGGGGGGGTGCCGGCACGGGGGGTGGGGGGGGGCCGGGGGGGGAGGGGGTGCCGGGGGGGGGGGGGGGTGCGGCACCGGGGGGGGGGTGCCGGCACCGGGGGGGGGGGGGTGCCGGCACCGGGGGGGGGTGCCGGCACCGGGAGGGGGGGTGCCGGCACCGGGGGGGGGGTGCCGGCACCCAGGGGGGGGGGTGCCGGCACCCAGGGGGGGGGGGGGGGGGCCGGGCACCGGGGGGGGGGGTGCCGGCACGGGGCTCTTCTGGGGGGCTTTCTTGGGCCGGTGGGGAGTCCCGGGGCCCGGTTCGGTTCCACCCGGTTCGGGCTTGCCGTTCGGGCCGGTTTCGACCGGCCGGTTCGGTTCGAACCGCCCGGTCCGGTTTCAGCCGGGCCGGTTCGGGCTCCGGTTCGGGCGGCTCGGTTGCAGGAGCCGCCGGTTCACGGTTACCAGTTCGGTTCGGACTCTTCTTATCGGAATAGCAGCAGCGTAACATTAATGTAAGAGGTAAATAACAAGTATTCATACAGGCCGCATTGCGCAAATATTGCGCCCTGGCTTAAAGGCAGCATTTAGAGATTATGGGACTTATCCTGCTCAATGGAAGGATGTATTTAAAGCATATCAATCATATACTCTCATCCCATATCGTGGCGTAGATCTCCTCTCTATTCGCACAGTCGGATGTCGAGCAAGGGGGGGGGGCAGGGGGGTTCGGGGTGGGGGAGAGGGGGGGGGGGCTGGGATGGGGGCGGGGGGGCGGGCGGGTCAGGGGGTCGACGGGGGGATTTTCGCCCAGAGGTTGTCATCATGAGGGCGGGGGGGGGGAGCAGGAGGATGGAGGATGGGGGAGGATTGGGGGAGGAGGAAGAGGAGCAGGAGAAGGAGGAGGAGGAGGAGGAGGAGGAGAAAGAGGAAGAGGAGTGGGGATCCGCCGCCATGAAGAGAAGAGCGCCTGAAGGAAAGGGGCCCTGAGACTTTGCTTTGTTTTTGGGTCTCCTGCGACATTCAGCCGCTCGGCATTTGTAGTTTTTTTCATGTCTCATGTCGAGTGTCTGCGTGGGGGTGCTCACGTTGAAGGTGCTCGATGTGTCTGTAGTTGCCATCATGCCCTCGAGGTAAGTGGGCGTCGTGGCTGTTTGGGGGAATGGGTAGCTGATCCTGTAAGAACGCCCAAGGGTCCAGGACCCGCTTCCCTCATGCCAAGAGGAGGTGGAAGAGTGAGAAGGAGGAGGCGGACGCGAGCGCACCCTGAATCGCAGGGTCAGCCGGAGGTAATCTAAGCTCATGACTGCTTTGAGATGCGGAGTTGGGGACCCTCCAAACGGAATCTTCGCGCGGGGAGGGGGGAGGTGAAGGAGGACGCAGCACGTCCTTCTCCGCCCCCCTGCTCCTCCCAGTCCTGCGGGCCAGCATTCTTATCTCAGGAGGGAGAGGAGGCACAATCCGGAGGGAAGTCTCCGCACCTGCAGGGTAGCACGCGCTTGGAAACATGAAGTGCCTTCTGGGCTTGCCGCGATCCTGTTGCTTGCCCGAGGCCGACCCTACGATTCGGTGTGTGTGTGTGCTCATGTTCCCCCTCCCCCCCATCCTGCCGCTGCTCTCCTCCTTCTCCTTCCCCCTCTTCCACTCTCGGCTCGTCCTCCAAGCCCCTCCGACCCCTCCCCCACTTCAGCCTCCCAGTATCTTCCTCTACCTTCCCTCCTCCGCCTGGTCTTCGTCCTCCGCTGCCGCCTCCTCATCGTCCTCTGCCACCTCAGGGTCGCTTGGTCAGGATCTATCTTGATTGATTTGGCACCGAGTCGGAAATCTGTGATGCAGTGCAGATGTTTCTGATATATCCCGCCCACCTCCAGATCGCATGCGGCCTTGGTGAAGCTTCGGAGCTACGGTCTGGAGCCTTTGCTCAGCGGGTCGCTCCGCAGGTTCCGACCCGCCACGCTTCGGTGCCACACGCTAACCCAGGCGCCACGCTTGCCTCTCCCAGCCTTCTGCTCTGTGCAGGGTAGCGACCTGCTATCCGCTCGCAGAGCACAGCGTGTCCCCAGGGCCGCCGCCGCTGCAACACGCTAAGCAAACGTTCTTTTCCAGATGCAAGTGGGATCATCCTTTGGTTAGTAGGTAATATTAGCGATGAAGGCTGACAGTTCAAAACCTAGCTTCCAGCGCTCTAGTTCTGCCCATTTCTCAAGAGGCCCACGCTATTCCGTCGAGCCCCAGAAGAGGATACGTGCGGCCTCTCATGCCGTGTGTGCTGTTTGGTACTTCCCCTCGTTCTGTCTGCGTGTATGTTGCTGATTCGTCCTCCTCTTTCTCCGCGTCTGTTGCGGGGATTCCTGGGGGCCTCTTGGAAGCCGAGGGAGCGGAGCGGCCTCTGGGAGCCTTTTCAAGGCTGTCAGGGGCTTTGGGGGGCCCTCCGAGGGGCTTCTTGGCGGCCTCTTGGGGGCGTGTTGGGCTCCCCGTGTGGGGTCTTGGGCCCCCCTTGGGGCCCTCTGGAGGCCCTCTTGAGGTTTCGATTGTCTTTTGGGGGACTTCGTGGGCCGTTTTAGGCTCTTTTGCGCCGTCTCCAAGCCTTCTTACGGGGACTCCTGGGCCGCTTTGCGCCAGTCTTGGGGGCCCTCTCGCGCCGTTTTTTGGGGGCTTGCAGACGCCTGTGAAGGCGAGAACGCGAACATCATGTAAAAGCTTATGGGAGCTCAGAGGTGTTTGCTTTTTGAGGCCCCGTGGGGCCCTTCTTCGGCGTCTTGGGCCGTCTTGAAGCGATCGTGGGCGCTCCTGCGGCCTCCCTGGGGCGGCGGTGCCCTGCCGGGGCCATCTTGCAACGCATCTTGGCCATCTTGGCAGCCACGAGGTGTTGGTCTTGAGGATCCCCCCAGAGGTTTGTTGACGAGATGGTGCCCCCCTCTCATGGGATTGTGGGCCCCAGGGGAGGGGGAAGTGGGAGGGGTGCCAGCCAATCATCTCACACGCCTGTGCACCCCCGGCAGGCGGGGGATCTGGATCTAGAGGCCTTCGGCCCAGTTCTCCACTTGTGCCTGGGACTCATGGATCAGCGGCATTCTGGAAGCATTTGTAGGTCTCTGTTGTTCTTCTCTCGATGTGACCCGAGCGGTTCCCTTGGGCCATATCAGTCGCTGTGACCTCATATGAGGCTTATCGGGGGCCTGTTGAGGAGCTCTTGGAGACCCCGTGGGGGCTTATTGTATCTTCTTCAGGGTATTTTGGAGGCCTCTTGGCGCCTCTTGGGGGCGCGTCGGTGGCCCGTTGGAAGCTATAGGGGCCATCTTGGGATGGAAGTCTCGAACGACCCCTTCGTTTCCCCCCCCTCTTACACCCTCTTGGTACCCTCTTGGGGTCCGCTTAAGCTCGTCTTGAGGGCCTCTTGAGCAGTTTTTGGGCCATCTCGGCGGCCTCTTCAATTTGGGGCGATCTTGGCGGCCTTTTGGGGCGTCTTGGAGCTTCGGAAACCCGACATCGCACGCGAGAGCGCTAAACTCCATCCAACACCTTAAGGAACACTACTCTTTGTTGTTTCGTTTGGGCCCTCTTGAGGGTCCTCTTCAGACCCTCTTGAAGCGTCTTGGAGACCTCTTTGGGCCGTCCGGGTGTTCGTCGTCGTCTGCCTGCTTCTCCCCTCCTCGTCCCCTTCCGCCGGACAATACAGCCTACCTGGGTCTAGCGTGGCGGTATGGAGGGCTTCGCCCCTTGGGCCGTCCTGGAGCGCGCTTGGGCCGTCCCAGAGCCCTCCTCACCGTCTTGGATGCCGCTCGGGACCCTCTCGGCCTGTCTTCAGGCTTTGCGGCCTCGGGACAAGTTTAGCGACAAGCCCCGAGTGGCTCTCGATGACACGCGACACCCTCAAAGGAATCCCGGAGTGTGGAGCCGGGGTGCTTGTCGGGAGCCTTGAAACGGGGGTCAGCCAGAGCGCCCGATCTTGCAGGATCCTGCAGGGCCAGGGTCGCATTGACCCGGGCTTGGGTGTAGGGTCCTGCAGGACAGGAGTCAACGGACCTGATCGGGTTGACCCAAAAGGGGGACCAGCGACAAGGGGGTGGTGCAACAGATTTGGTGCAATAGATTTGTGGAGTTGCAATACGTTCCGGGGTGCAAATGTATTGCTGGACGTTCGCGTGCAATAATTTTACTTGCAATACAATGCAGTACAATTCTCCGGCGCAATACACTTGCAATACGACTGCCCCAAATCTATTGCACCACCCCCTTTCAGCTGGACCCCCCTTTGGGCCACCCAAACCTGAGGACACTCAAACTCGTGCCTCGAGGCATGGTGGCGAATGCTGCTAGTTTCTGCAAATTCGGGTGTTCTCGGATCATCTTCCCCCTGTGTTGGTGTTGGTGCCCCTTTCCAGGCCTCCAATAGCGACAAGCCCCGAGTGGCACTCGATGACACGCGACACCCTCAAAGGAATCCCGGAGCGTGGAGAGGGGTGCTTGAGTTCAATTGCCCAGGACAGGAGTCAACGGACCTGAGGACCTTCAAGCAGCAGTTCGCGGCATGCGCCACCGTGCCTCGAGGCACGGTGGCGCATGCCGCGAACTGCCACAAGTCCGGGTGGTCGCCCTGCGGCCGCCCGGGGGCGGAGGAGCGTCTTGCCGCCCGCGTTCTGTGCCGCCTCGCACGCCCGCGCTGGGTGCCGTTGGCTCGAGAGCAGAGGGGCGCTCCTGGGGTTTGACGCGCCTCCCAACCAGCACTGTTACGTCGGGCACGTCCCTCTACAGGAGGGAGATCCAACAAGAGTAAGCACATAGGCTTGCTGGAGCCAAGACATAGGGCATGCTCGCGTATTCTTGGGATGTGTTTGATTTGTCGTCCAGTCTCCTCCTGTGGGAGGGCATGCCCGACCGGACCCAAGGCAGCAGCGTGGTGGAACGGATCCCGCGGCCGCCCCGCAGGGGACGGGGCCTCGCCCCGAGCGCAAGCGGCCGCTCACGGACTCTCAGCGGATGCCTCGGAGCTGGCGGCCAAGGTCCGGCAGCAGCGCAGGCCCATGCCAGGAAGCGCCCTGCTCGCCTCCAGGGTGCCCGGGGTTTCTTGGGCTTCGATGGTTTTGCCATGGAAGGCGCGACGCCGCGACGCTCCCACACCAAACATCGGGCGAAGTCCTGGGGTCTGAGGGTTGAGTCTCTTGTGGAAGGTTTCTTGTGGTCGGGCCCCCTACTGTACCTCGGAACCGGCGGCCAAGGTCCAGAGTGTGGGCCTGGCGAGGCTGGCGGGGGCTACAGTCAGGTCGGGCACGTTCTACAGGAGGCAAGAAAACAGTCAGGGGATGTTTCCCTGGTATGTTTGGACTAACCGACCACGGGCGATAATATAACATACCCCCCTCCAACCCCTCTATTTTTATAATCCCCGTCCAACAGGATTTAATTGTGGAGATAGGCGCGGAGGCCGAACTTTCCAATCCACGGGGGAAATCGCGAATCGAAGTTGCTATCATCTCATGTTGACCAGCAGCAGCATCAAAAAGCGCTGAGCATGGCAATGGTGGTCTCACCACACCAGCGTCGAGGAGGCAAGGGCCACCTTCGAGGAGGCAAGCGCCGCCGCCCAGCTTTGCACCAAGTGTTTCCTATGCAAGGACGGCTCCAAAGGATGCCGTGCTTGCATGGGGGACTAGTTCGAAGTCCAGCGCAAGAGAGGTTTCTTGGCCAGAACGGCCAAGGACCTCTCTTGCGCTGGCAAGTTGTAGGCACGAGCCTCGAGGTCTATCGAGCCAGTCTTGTGCCGAGTGCCTGCTGGCAAGTTGTATAGCCACGAGCCTCGAGATCTCTCGAGTCAGCCTTGTGCCGAGCGCCTGCTGGCAAGTTGTATAGCCAGGAGCCTCGAGATCTCTCGAGTCAGTCTTGTGCCGAGAGCCTGCTGGCAAGTTCTATAGCCACGAGCTCGAGATCAATCGAGTCAGTCCTGTGCCGAGCGCCCAGGATCACCATCATCATTGTCATCATCATCGTCATCATCATCATCATCATCATCATCATCAGCATCATCATCATCATTCTCATCCTCATCCCTGGGAAAATCTTCGAGTATCCCCGCCAGAACCCCGAACTTTATTATCCCCCGGTGATCATTACCGCCCGCGGTCGGTTAGTTGTGTTTTTTGTTCGACGATCTTTTATGTGTCTTCCAGAGTCCACCTGTATGGGGGGCACCTAAAGGCTACAGATGGCGCTCTGGCACTGCGGGCGGCCAGGCGGCCAGGCTCGTCGTCGGGTACCGCGGGCGGGCCCCCCCCCGCGCCACTGGAGGGCGGCTGCCGGAGGGTGGCGTTCGCAGCCAGGCTGGCGGGCTGTGCGCCGCCTGCGGGCGGACGTTGGCAGGTGGCGGCGCTGGGAAGATCGGGCCGGGCGAAAGGGGGGAGATTGGGAAAGGGGGGGGTACGAAATTTGCTACATGCAGCTGGTTTCGGCCTCACCGAGGGGCCCATTCCTCGATACATGGGCGCCTCCAGCGCCGGGAGGCGCCGGGAAAATCAGCTACGTGAGCTGATTCTCAAACACCCCCTTTGCTATCCCCCCCTTTCGCCCGACCCGAGAAGAGGGAGTCTCTGCTGAGTGTGGGGGTGAGTGGCGTGGTGCGCCGCGTGCACCAGGGCGGGCCCCAAGCGGCAACCCCCCTGGGCTCCCCTTCGGGATGCCACCCGCCACTCCTTTGCGTTGGCTCGGATGCCCTGCTGAGTCTGGGGACGTTGGCGCTCGCAACGGGCTGGGCCCGCCCCACTGGGCACCTCTGCTTCACGCAATCCGTATCACGCAGTCGCCTCCTCCTCCTCCTCCTCCTCCTCCTCCTCCTCCTCCCTTCCCGCTCTCGACGCTCTGCCTCCTCCTCCCTTCTCGACGGTTTGCCTTCTCCTTGTCCTCCTCCTAATCGTCGTCGTCCTCCTCCTCCTCCTCCTCCTCCTCCTCCTCATCCTTCTCTCCCTCCTCCTCTCCTCCTCCTCCTCCTCCTCCTCCTCCTCCTCCTCCTCCTCCTCCTCCTCATCCTTCCTCCCTCCTCCTCCTCCCTCCTCCTCCTCCTCCTCCTCCTCCTCCTCTCTTGTTCCTCTCCCCCCCTCCTCCCCTTCCCCCTCCCTCCTTCTCATCCGTCTCATTGTTGTTGTGGTGAGAGGAATAGGAGTTCGTATCATCGCTTCTCGGCAGTGGTGTGGTAAGGGCATTTTCAAAAACGCCAATGCGTCACATGAAACATCGAATGAAACATCACATGAAGCTTCTGATGGTGTGTCGGCAGGCCGCGGAGCCAGGCAAGCCGAACACATCGCCTCCTCCTCCTCCTCCTCCTCCTCCTCCTCCTCCTCCTCCTCCTTTTCGCTCCTCCTCCTCCTCCTCCTCCTCCTCCTCCTCCTCCTCCTCCTCCTTCCTTCCTTTTCTCCCTCCTCCCCGCTGCTGCTGCTGCTGCTGCTCCTCCTCCTCCTCCTCCATCCCCTCGTCTCTACTCCTCTCTCTCCTCCTCGTTGCGAGGCCTCGCCGCGGACCGCTTGCCTGGCTGGGCTGCCCGCCGACGTCGCGGCGCTCTCCTGGGCGCTGTGCGGGCCCGCGAGCTGCTGCGCCGCGCGCCCGGGGAGGAGGAGGAGGAGGCGGAGGAGGAGGAGGGGGAGGAGGAGGAGGAGGAGAAGGAGGAGGAGGAGGAGAAGATGGAGGAGGAGGAGGAGGAGAGGAGGAGGAGGAGGAGGAGGAGGAGGAGGGGGAGGAGGAGGAGGAGGAGGAGGAGGAGGATAGAGGAGGACGGATGTTCCTTTGCAACCCTAGTGCCTTCGGATAGCCGTCCGCATACTTGATGTTCTGGGCTGCCGAAATCTCCTGCGGACCCCATGGGGCCCTGATTTTGCCTTCAGATGGGGTGCACAATGGTCTTGCCCGATCAAGGCATCTGGAATAGCGAACTTCGAAGGTCCCTCTGGCCTCCTTGTGGGCAGCGGGAGCTTCGAGGTACGGCCCTTGGCCGCCGAGACGTCCCTCGGGCCCCATCGGACCCTCAGAGCCTTCATGTGGATGTTGGGAGCCTTGGAGGGAAATTGCAACCCTCCTCGAAACCAAGCGCAAGTTTTCAGTGCTGGCCGACCCGCGAAACGCGGACCAAGGGGTCAGATGTCTGTGTATGCAGTCGCCAATTTCGGCGCGAACGTTGACATTTTGGGGTCCTGGGGCGCCGCCACGTCGCGGGAAGAACTCGCGTTTGATTTCGAGGGGGATGTAGGTGAGCATATCAACCCAGCCAGTCTGACAGAACGCTCACCTCAGAGGGTCCTCTGGAATTGGCGGCGGCCATCCCTCGGGCCTGTTTTCGTCTCTCCAAGGGTCCCGTCCATCTGTTTCTCATGGCCGCGAAGGATCCCGCGGCAACCGTGCGAGTCGGACATGCATGCCGCACGGCTTTCATCTACGATTCACTCTGTGATAATCTTTTGGCGATCAGCAATCTGGCTTCCACGTCGCGCTGGCCACACCCAGCCCTTCTCGGGCCCAGCCCGACTCTCGCCTCGCCGGCCAGAGCCCGCGGACGTTCCTCCGCTCCTCGCTCGCTTGCTCGGCTTCTCTCCTCGCTTACCGCGCCCGAGCTGCGCTCCGGCTCCACAGCGTTCAGCTCTGCCCTCGGACAGAACCTTGCCCGGTACGTGCATCCAACCCGTGTGCTGGGCATTTTCTCTTCGGGTGGAGGGCACATGGTGAAATCTGAAACGCCGTTTCGAGGGGGTTTCGAGGCCTGAAGCTGCAAGAGGTGAATCACAGGACGGATTGATTTTCGAGGTGCAGAAGCCCATATGGCAGGAAAGTTCCGGTTCGGTTCGGTTCGGTTAGGTTCCGAAGCGCCTCCGGTTCGGTTCGGTTCGGTTCGGTTCGGTGTCGTAATCTTCCGGTTCGGTTCGGTTCGGTACGTTTATTTGTTGTTTCCGGTTCGGACCGGTTCTTGTTCCGGTTCGGTCCGGTTCCGGCCAGATCGCCGTCGAGGAGCGGTTCCGACCCTAGGCGATCCGATTTCGTTGCGCTCCTTTCGATGCCGATGGTTCGGAGGAGGAGGAGGAGGAAGAGGAGGAGGAGGAGGAGGAGGAGGAGGAGGAGGAGGAGGAGGAGGAGGAGCCGGGGCGACGCAGCGTGCTGGCGCGCCCCAGCGCCCCAGCGCGCCCGGCGCGCCCGGCGAGGTGCCCAAACCCCCAAAGGGCCCCAAATGGGGCCCCAAAGGGGCCTCAAAGGGGCCCCAAAGGGGCCCCAAACCCGCATAGGGGCTCCAAAGGGCCCCCAAAGGGGCCCCAAACCCCCAAAGGGGCCACCCGCATAGGGGCCCCAAACCCCAAAGGAAAGGGGGTTTGTCGGGGTGGCTGCAGCAGACTGCTGGTGGGTCGGTTCCCGCGGGAACCCGGGTACCCCGGCGGCGGCCCCCTGCCCTCGCGCGGGGGGGGCGCCAAAGGGGCCCGCCCTCCCGCGGTCCGCTCCGCGCCCTCGACGTCGCCGACGAGGGACGACGGACGAGGGACGAGGGACTGACCGACCGAAGAGGTCCCCAGGCGGACCGAGAGTGATGCTCGTGGTGGGGCAAGCGCAACAACACTTCCGTCATCTTCCCTCCTCCTCCCTCCGTGGCCAGTTTTCCGGTTCGCTCCGGTTCGGTCCGGTTCGGGCCGGTTCGGCGGGGGGAGGTTCGGCCCGTTTCGGAGTCCCGGTTCGGTTCGGTTCGGTTCGGTGTCGTAATTTTCCGGTACGGTTCGGTTCCCATTGACAAAAAACACCGGTTCGCGCCGGTTCGGTTCGGCCCGGTTCGGTTCGGCCGGTTCGGTTCGGTTCCGGAACCATCTTGATATGGATTTCACCCTGAGCCCTCATTCCCTCAGGACATGCTCGGGTATGGCCTAACACCTCAGTGGATCATCAGGAGCCCAGTTTGGATGTGCCTTGGCGCCCCCCTCTGCCGCCTTTCCGCCGCACGCTTCTGCCAACTTCGTCTGCACGGCCTGTGGCCACTTCAGGCATATGCCAGCAGTAGACCTTGAACGGCAGACATGCTCATCGCACTCTGGCAGCTTCTGTTGTTGAGACGGAGCTCTGATCTCCTCAATCCTACTTCGGAGAATTCCGGGCGCCAGGCAGAGTGGGACATGTTCCGTTGGCCAGGCGGCTTTATACATTTTGGTCATTGATCTTCGTGGCATCGCGGCGTAATCCAGAAGCCGCATTAAAGTGATCATTTCCCCCCTCTGTGACAGAGGGGGTGTTTTTCGGAGGCCCTCTGTGACAGAGGGGGTGCGTTTGGAGGCCCTCTGTGACAGAGGGGGTGCGTTCGGAGGCTCTCTGTGACAGAGTTGCTCGTCATCCCGTTCCTCCTCATCCTGCTACTTGATTTCGGATATGTCATGCTACCACTGCGCTCATCATCTTTGCGTCTGTGATCCTCGTCGTGTTGTTCCATGCGTCCTTTTCACATTTTCCACCACATTATTCTCCGTTGCCGTTCTGGCCCGCCATCTACCTCGTCACTCTCCTTCGTCTGCATGTCCTCATTCTCTTCCGCTCTTTTTTCGCCCCCCTCTGGTTCGATTTCCGCTCTTCGTCCACTTCGTTCTTCCGTTTCCAACCCCCCTTCCTTTCAAGTTCTCCGCCGTCCAATCACATCGCGTCGTCCGTCGCCGCTATGCTCAACCCATCCCGCGCCCGTGGGATCGCCCGCGAGCAACGGTGCAGCCGGGCCCGTCGCGGCCTAACGCGCGCCTGCGCCATCGTCTTGCGATGGGCGATGCAGGCGGATACACATGGGGTGGCGCGGGAGGATGGTGGGATAGCCGCAGCAGCGGCTGGCGTGGCTGGGAGGACGGCCATGATTGGTCAGCGTGGGGTTGGAGAGACTGGCGACAAGACGGGAACACGCCAACGGAGGACGCCAAATGGCGCGATGGCCCTGCCGCCGCAGCAGCGGCGGCGGTCTCGCCTCAACGGCCGTCTCGCTTCGCCGCGCTTAGCGTTGTGAGCCCCCGCGCCCCTGGTCTCGGCATGCCCGAATTCGATGATTTCGTGAGGGCTGCCCTCCGAAACTCACCAGAACCTGGGGGCACAGTTTCAGGAGAGGGGTCGGGATCCCGAGCCGCGCCTGCGGCGCAGGAGCCCCGCGCCACCGCAGCGGCGGCGGCGCGCGGGCCCCAGGATTTTGAGAAGTTTGATGTTAATTATTTTTTGAGTTATGAAGAGAGGCTCGGCACTTCGTTTAAGCAACACAACCAAGCGTTGAAATGGTGGCGCCACCTGAATGAAGACCCAACTGCCCCGTTCGAGTCAGAAGCCAAGTGGTTTGACAATGTGGAGCCCACCATGGTCGCTGTTTGCGACCACGGTGCGAGAACGAGCTTTGGTTTCAGAAGCGACGAGGAAGTCCCTTGGCGGTGGCAAGAGATGGTGGCGACGCTCAGGGAGGAAGATACCAGGGAGGTCGTGGGGGGGCCCCGCAGCAGCGGGGCTCTGATTGGCTGTTCCCTCGAAGTCCGGCCAAACAGCTACGACCACATGCGCCAGAGTATTGTGCGCGCGCGACAGTTCGCGCGGCAGCGCGTGAAAGTGAAGCTGCCGATGTGGGATTTCGCGTTGCACCGCGACGACGGGACAGGCGTCCGCTTACACCCGCACTGGGGCGACAGGAAGGTCGAAGCTCTGCCCCTCATGCCCCGCGCGGACACGGTGAGGCCGCCGGCCGCGGGTTTGGGCGGGAGCGACGGGTCAGGAACCTATCGCTGGTACAAGGACCTCGGCGTGGAGCGTAAATGCGTAAGGTCAAGTTCGACGCCGCCAGAGAGAAGGGGAGGCCGGCGCCTTCTCAGGGGCCCCGCATCAGCGGGGCCGCGGCGTCCAGCACCGGGCCCTCGGCGTCCGCAGCAGCGGCTGGCAAACCAGTAGTTTGGGGGCCGAACAGCTCCCCAGACGATTTGGTTGTGGATTAGGTGGCTCCGCAGCAGCGGGGCTCGAATGAAGGGCGCGTTGCATTTCGGCAGGGGCGCGCGCGTCGGCCGCCGAGATCGGGGGCGCGCGTGCAGGCGCCGTGGCGCGATCTTCGTTCTGAAGTCGCCCCTCTCCTCCCTGTCCCCCCATCCCGCCGCCCTCGACGTCGGCCCCTCGCCGCTCGTTCCTCGTCGCTCCACGCCTGTTCGTTCTCACGGGGGGGGGGCGGCAGCGTGGCGGGGCCGCGTCCGCAACCCCGCCCCCAGCCTCACGGGGCGCCCACGAGGGCCCACGAGGGGCCCACAGCCTCCGAGGGCCCACGAGGGGCGCCCACGACGAGGGGCCCACGGGGGCCCACGAGGGGCCCACGAGGGCACACGGGCCGCAACCACGCCCACGAGGGACGCCCACGAGGGGCCCACGCGGGGCCCACGAGTGTCAGGTGCGCTGAAGCAGGCAGCATCTATCTCGTCTCGACTCGGTGCGGGCCCCACTTGCGCGGCCCACGAGGCAGGAGAGCCCAGAATCGACACTCCGCATCGGCGATCAAGATGATTCGGACCGGCGGGAACCGACGGACGGGTCGTGAGGAGTCGAATCGGCGGAAATCGGCAGAGCAGTAAGGCCTCATG